TTTTCTTGCAAACGTTTCATTACCCAGCTAGGTAACATCTTCAGTGCTAGAATGGAATGGGATCAGAGCAAACCCCACTCCTTTCTGGCACTGAAGATGTTACCTAGCCAGATAACGAAACGTTTGCAAGAAAACAACCAAGCTCAGAGAACCCCCAGGACTCCACAGTTCAACCCTGAGCTACACATATTCTCTTCTGTTGACACTTTTAAATGTTATCAGCAAGAGCTGCATAAGGAAAAAAAATGGCAATCTTGATGCCAACTGACTGGTTGAGGGAATCATTGGGTGCTTGCTCCTGGTCACGGTACAAGCAGAATGAAGCTGTTTCCAGGCATCAGTACTGTACATTTCTAGACATTTCCCGATATTTATTTTCATGTACACAATTCTGTTAATTATTTACAAGAAAATAAAAATCAGAAGTTTATGTCATATATGTCCTCAGGCCTGGGAGGTCCTTGGGAATCAGAGACATTCTTAGATGGCTCCAGTAGGATTGATAGCTCTCTCCCTCTGTGGGCTTTGTATATTTTAAAATTTAAAAAAAATTAAACTTTTTGATATGGTTCTATTTGAATAATCACGTTTTTATCTTTTATCACGGTTGTTTTTATCTATTTGCTATTTTATTTAATTGTTGTACACAACCCAGAGTCACTTGGTGTGAGATGGGCACCTTATCAATGTGATATATAATTAATTAATTAATTAATCAAAAGCAAAAGCAAAAGCAAAACCCAACAACCAAAGTGGGCAACTGGGATGTTCCAGCATTACCTTCATTTCCAGGAATGAGCCCTGTAGGAATTCTTAGAAGGTAAAAATTGAAAGTATCTGCAGTCCAGATTTTGTTCAAAAGTGTGCCTGTCTGCTCACCCCCTTAACAGGAAAAATTAAGCTGTGTCCTGGCAGATTGTAAATGAAGGCCTGGAGTAGTATTTCTCAACCTTCCCAGTTTAAGATGTGTGGACTTCAACTCCCAGAATTCCCCAGCCAGCCATGCCGGCTGGGGAATTCTGGGAGTTGAAGTCCACACACCTTAAAATGGCCAAGGTTGAGAAACACTGGTCTGGAGGGACAACATGCTAATTGTATCAACAAACGGTCACTATTTTGTGAGCTGCACTGGCTTCCTATCAGCTTCTGGGTGCATTGCAAGGTGTTAGTTATCATCTATAAAGGTCTCCGTGGTACAGGTCCAGGATATTTGTGGGGCAATCTCTGCTGAAGAACATCTGCCTATCTCACTTGTTCTAAGAGCAGGGGCA